CACACACCTGCTAGGTATTTATGAGGTACAAGAGCATTAAATTAGCTCCAGATCTGTTTGATTGGTCCATTCCATCTTGCCATATGGCCCAGAATCAATAGGTGCCTAAATTAGCCGGTGAACTCACAAAGCAGCCTGGGATTTGGATACACTCAGCAGAAAAACGAGGCTCTGGATATCTCTCGAGGCTACAAAAGCACAGAAACATTGAAGCGTCTCTCCCGCGTGTCCATTGAGATTCTACTACGGCCGCTTGCAGCAATGCTAAAAATAGAGCATTCTTTTTAAGTGAAATTGTCCCCCTTGACGCACATATTTCAGTCTAATAACAAGCCCTGGCCGTTTCATTGCTCCTTTCCTTAGAATGCGTTACTCTGATGCCATTAAACTCAGCTCTCATAAATGAGCGGGATGGGATTTCTTTTAGGGGCAGCCGCTGTTCTGGCAGGCTGTCAGAACAACTCTGTGAAGCAAGTGATTACCTGTGCATGGAAAGGGGAGTGGTGGGGGGAGACTGATGACTGCTTGCTGCAGGGAGTTAAAGAAGAGAAAAAGAAGGGAAGAGAATGGAAATGTGGCCCATGAAAAGCTTCCTAATGAAAACCGTCGGCTCCCTGGTGCCTTATTATTCAAAACCTTCCTTCAACCTCTGGCATGGCCTGGTCATGGACAATGGACATTAAGGGGCAACCGGCGATGCAGGCACCAGGGCGCAGATTTGGAACCAGTTCTCGGTGTTCTGCTGCAGCGATATGACCAGCGTTCCTCCGAATCTCCCAGAACTTGTGTTGTTGGTTACACATAGTGACAGTTGCAGTTGCCTGGTCAGTGTCTGAAGACCTCTTTCTTCATGAATTAATAGGCCTCTATATAGTCCAACAGCTGAAGTGCTAAGAGAGGTTTACAATGATTCCTAAAATGCAGTAACACTCCATATAAAATATAAATAATGATAAAAATGTCAGGTCTCTACAGAAGTGCAAAACCAAATTTAAACAACCTAGAGAACAAAGATTGGCTGACACAACTGGACAGCTGATGCAACCCACCCCACGGGCAATTCAGAGCTGCTAATGCCTTGGCACAGAAGACAGTTGCAAGCTGGTGACGGAGGGATGCTGGAGCTGGAGTCAGGTGGGCCTCAGGGGGGTGCTTGACCCATACAAGCAGCACAGATGCAGGTGGGGCTGCTGAAGCTAAGTAGGACAGGTCAGCACCTGGACGGGAGGGCACCTGTGTACGGCATCCTGAATTCTATGGAAGAGGAGAGTCCTGTGAGAGGAGCATAAGAGCCATATTGGATCAGATCGAAAGTCCACGAACAGTTTTCCATCCATGCAGTGGTTACCCAGCTCCCCACAGGAAACTTACAAACAGGACCTGAGCGCAAGGCCACTCTCCCACACATGCCTCCCAGCATTTTGCCTCTGATACTGGAGACAGCCATCTGGATGGGCAGCCATTGGTAGCCTCATCCCCCAGGAATTTAAAGCCATTCAAATTGGTGATCATCATTACTCCACATGGAAGAGATTTCCAGTTTGACTATATACCGTGTGAAGATGTACTTCCTTTTACCTGTCCTGAACCTCCAATAGGTTCTAGCAATATGAAAGGTTTCCTAAGCCACTTTCTCTACATCTTGTATAATTGTGTACACCCCTATTGTCTCCCCCCTTACTTGCCTTTTCTCTAACTTAAGGAATTCCAAATGTTATAACACTCCCTCCCCACCGGGGTTTTTGTTTCAGCCTCTTGTTCATTTCAGCTGCCTTTTACTGCTTTTCCCCCCAATTCTGCAATATGCATTTTGGCTGTCCTGACCAGAATGATCAGTGTTCCAAGTGTGGTTGCACCATAAATTTGTTTAAGGCAACCATGATCTTGGTATATTTTTATTTTCAGTTTCTTTTGTAATTATGCCTAACACAGAATCTTTCCTTTTCACACACTGGATGAGCACTTCAATCGAGTGGTTCACAGCGACCCCAAGCTCTGTATTATTGATCAGCCACTGCAAGTTCAGATTCCTTCAGTGCGTGCATGGGAATTTTGCTCCAGTTTGTATCACCTTAAGCTTGTTTACCTTGAAAGACATTTACAATATTGAGGCTCATTCTCCAAGTTCGGAGAGTTTCTTCTAGAATTCCTTGCAACCTTATTTTGTTTTCACTATCCTAAACAATCTCATGTTGATGTTAGTCACGAAGTCGTGTCTGACCCATTGCAACCCCATGGACAACATTCCTCCAGGCCTTCCTGTCCTCCACCATCCCCTGGAGTCCACTCAAGCTCACACCAACTGCTTCAGTGACTCCACCTCATAGCCACCTCATAGCCACCTCATCCTCTGCCGTCCCCTTCTTCTTTTGCCATCTCTTGTTCCCAGCATTAGACTCTTCTCCAGAGAGTCCTTCCTTCTCATTACGAGGTATTTGAGTTTCATCTTCAGTATCTGGCCTTCTAAAGAGCAGTCAGGATTGATCTCCTCTAGGACTGACTGGTTTGATCGCCTTGCGGTCCAAGGGACTTGCAGGATTCTCCTCCAGTACCACAATTCAAAGGCCTCAATTCTTCGGCGCTCAGCCTTCCTTATTGTCCAGCTTTCACAGCCATACATTGCAACTAGGAAAACCATAGCCTTGACTATACACTTTTGTTGGCAGGATGATGTCTCTGCTTTTTAGTATGCTGTCTAAATTTGCAATAGCTTTCCTCCCCAGGAGCAAGCGTCTTCTAATTTCTTGGCTGCAGTCCCCTTCTGTGGTGATCTTGGAGCCCAGGAAAATAAAATCTGTCACTACCTCCATTTCTTCCTCATCTATTTGCCAGGAAGTGAGAGGACCGGATGCCATGATCTTAGTTTTCTTAATGTTGAGTTTCAAGCCAACTTTTGCACTCTCCTCCTTCACCCGCATCAAGAGGCTCTTTAGTTCCTCTTCACTTTCTGCCATTAGAATGGTATCATCTGCATATCTGAGGTTGTTGATATTTCTCCCAGCAATCTTAATTCCAACTGGTGATTCATCCAGCCCCGCCTTTCTCATGATGTGCTCTGCATATGTTAAATAGACAGGGCGACAGTATATAGCCTTGCTGAACTCCTTTCTCAATTTTGAACCAATCAGTGGTTCTGTGTCCAGTTCTCCCTGTTGCTTCACTGTTGCTTCTTGAGCCACATATAGGTTTCTCAAGATGGTCTGGTACTCCCATCTCTTTAAGAACTTGCCACAATTTGTTGTGATCAACACAATCAAAGGCTTTAGCATAGTCAATGAAGCAGAAGTAGATGTTTTTCTGGAACTCCTTAACTTTCTCCATGATCCAGTGTATGTTGGCAATTTGATCTCTAGTTCCTCTCCCTCTTTGAAATCCTGCCTGTACTTCTGGCAGTTCTTGGTCCACATACTGCTGGAGCCTAGCTTGCAGGATTTTGAGCATCACTTTGTTAGCATGTGAAATGAGTGCAATGGTGTGGTAGTTTGAACATTCTTTGGCATTGCCCTTCTTTGGGATCAGAATGTAAACTGACCTTTTCCAATCCTGTGGCCACA